CCAGAAAGATTTGAATAATAAGGTAGAGAATGAGCTTACTAGATCTTTGAAGAAGCTCAGGGACCAACAGGCTATCCCATCGGGTTTTTATGAAATGATTAAACCAGTGGGAACCCATCTGCCGAGATTGTATGGATTGCCAAAGGTTCACAAAACGGGGGTCCCATTAAGGCCTATTTTAGATATGTATAACTTTCCTTACCATACTATAGCTAAATGGCTGGTAACTATATTAAAACCTCTACACGAAAAGCTTGTAAAATATAGTGTTAAGGATGTGTTCCAATTTGTTGATAAAATCAAAAACGCAAATACGTTGGGACTAAAGATGATGTCATTGGATGTAACATCGTTATTCACAAACGTCCCACTCATAGAGACTGTAGAATATATAGGTGAACAGCTGATAGAAAATGAAATTGAAACTACGGTCCCTATTAGCGTCGTGAAAGAGTTATTACTCAAATGCACCATGAATGTAAATTTCAAGTTCAACGGTGAAATATATAGACAAACAGATGGTGTTGCAATGGGTTCACCACTGGGCCCTATACTAGCTGATATTTTTCTAGCCAAACTAGAAAATGGTCCACTGAAAAAGATTATTCAGAACTTCACATTTTACTGTAGATACGTGGATGACACGTTCATCCTCTGTAAAGATAATACTTCGCCGCAAGAGGTTCTTAGACGATTTAATGAAGTGCATCCAGCCATTCAGTTTACATCTGAAGAAGAGAATGATGGCCGAATAGCCTTTTTGAACGTTCTCTTGACTAGGAAAGTAGATGGATCGTTAAAAAGGAATATAAACAGAAAAAGTACTTGGACTGGGCAGTATACGAATTTCCTGAGCTTTGTACCTCTACAGTACAAACGAAATTTGATCAAAAACCTTAGCTACCGTATTCGCACTATATAATCTGCTGATATAGTCAAACAAGAGCTTACCACCTTGCATAATACTCTCAGGGAGAATGGCTACCCTAGAAAGTTTATAATTAAATATATGGTCACGAAGGCGAAAGTAGGCGAAATACAAACAGTGAAGAAGAAATCCTTGTTCATGCGTCTACAATTCAGAAGGGATGCGGCTAGCGAAATACTAACTCAGAGACTACGTAGAACAATACAAAAGTCGTTTAACGCCGGAGAACTGCGATTAGTATTTTCTACGCGCCCAATGGTTACACCGAAGCTAAAAGATGAATTACCTAGAATGACCACATCATTTTGTATTTATCAGTTCAACTGCTCCTGTGGAGCGAGTTATATTGGTCGAATTTCTAGAAATTTACATTTTCGTGCTCGTGAACACCTTCCAGCGTGGTTAAACAAAGGTTTGATGAAGAAGGTGAACAGCTCAATATTGGCCCATTTAGTACAAACCGGTCATAGTGCCAGTATAAACCAATCTTTTTCAATTATTTATAAGGTAAGTAATTTTTTGCCAAAACTGGTCAGACTGAAAGTCGTTCAAACGGCTGAAGCAGTAGCCATCCGAATGAAGAAACCGGAGCTATGCGTACAGAAGAAATATGTTCAGCCACTCCTCCTCCCCTGGCCAACATCAAGGCCAATTAATCAATCGTAATCTTAACTATTGAATGACCCAATTTGACTATGACCTTTCGTAGTCAGTTGTAATTGTCCCTGTTATCTTTATTCATAAATCTTTGTATTATTATTATTATTATTATTATTATTATTATTGTTATTATTATTATTATTATTGGTTAAACATCATTAATCTCCCTATACATGATTCATTCACTTTGCATTCATCCCTCTGTATTACGTCTTACTTATTTGATCGAATTGTAATTGCACTATTATTTCTCTCTCACCCTATTTGACCCATATTTATTCTGATCATGGATCTTAAAATTTCATTTAACATATACACAGATTCAAGTTAACATTTTATATGAGTCATATTAACATTAACAATTTTATTGTATTTTGTTTATCACAATCCTAAATTCACATGCTCTAAACGATGTACTTTACCCTTAACTTGGCCATATTTCGGATTAATAATTTGGATATATAATTGTAGAACCTGAAGAGAATTTATCGAAAAGAATATTCTTCGTTCAAATGTTTGAAAGTTTAAAGCCAAAAAATAATTTATAAATTTATATAAGTACTAAGGAGAAAGCCATTCGAATCATACAATTTTTTGAATTATTTGTTCACTATATCACGTAATCTTAACTACTGAATTTAAAATGTTATTCACTCGACAGTTATCTAGTGAGTAACACATATTAAAACATTTAATTATCATGTGTATATAATATGTCTGTTAGTTTATGATAGTGAAAGAATGAATCACGAATGATTGTTCGAGTGAAACACTGAATGCTCTCGATATAAGCAAGTATATTTGAAACAGAAACTGTTATTACTTCAACAGTACTCGTTTATTGGTTGTTGTTACTATCACACAACGTCTCAAACCATTAGTTATAAGGATAACATGAACATCAAATCAAGATGTCGGCATCTATTTATATGACTCAATGCAGCAGTCAACGACATCACGAACTGATGTCATGTCTTCATTTGTCCAATCCACTCTCTTTCACCTAACCTAGTCCGACGACAGACAACATCACTCACTGAGATGGATATTGATTAAGTATATGCAACACATGTTCAAACCAACTCACTCGATCACAATTCCCCACTTCGTCAACCGATTCTCTATCTTCAGTCAGTGCATTATTCCACATTTCAGTATTGCTATTAAGGTGGTTCTATCATACGTGATCGATGTCTCGAAAACACACATTATCGAATAGTACTAGTCTAAGATTTTCCCTTCTTCTCAACAGTCAGGTTCTACACCCATCAGGTAGAAAAGCCTGAACTATCACTCAGAAAACTGGTTTTTCGGTTGACAGATGGGCAACTCACCTATGGTACAAGTGATACAAATAGCAAAAGCCAAACACAGACCTCTGCATACATGATTTTGTCAGACACCAGTCAATCATGACTGATGAGGCTATACATTAAGGTGAAATTATTGACACACTTAACTACTTCACTTTCTATCACTAGTTAGTTTGTTGGGGCAAATCACTTGAGAAGTATTATTTTTTATTGAGAGGAAGAGTAAGGCATATCTAACTTATTTGCATTGTTGCTGAAGGTGATTGGAAGACTCAGTATTTTATTAGTCTTCATCAAAGGCGATTACATTACACGCGCATTCCGAGTCCATTAGTAAACCTCTTATTTTCGAGATCAATTTCCGAAATGTTAGTCCAATAGAAAGTTATTGCCCAGAGGTTATCGATGACAAATTTAAGTAAAAATGGGAATAGTGGGCATTACTGACGAACGCTACTTGGTATTGATATTTTTGGTGACAGTTCGTTGCAAACTCTAACTTGACCAGGAGTACCTGTGTTTTTACGCTTCTCAATGACATACATTATTGCCTTTTTCGTGTCTGCTCTTCATGAGCCCTATATTGGCACTGGATCATAAATGACATTAATATTTTGGACACAAAATTAGTCAGACTGATTCTTGTGTGATTGGTACAATAGGGTTTTTGGCTATTTAATACAAACCCGGATGACCAGAGTTTGAGACAATTCAGATAGGATTACGTTAAGTGTCCAGACTCTCACTAACATCTCAACAACTTGGATCGGACCACTTTCACCAACCATTTTGGTGGATAATCCATCTGGATCTTTTGGCATCCTCGTTTTAGAATGCTGGCAGCATGTTATGTTTGTGTCCAACTTTGTATTGGTGTTGAAGTTGTCAGGTTAAAAATGTCTTTATTCGCGATATGTGGACTTGATAAAAAATTGCAGAAGACGTTCACTATTATCTACATTCAATTTCAATTATGGTTAATTTTTTGGAGCACTTTTATAAACTTCCTTAAAAGACAATGTTATTCAAACGGGAACAATTCGCATATTTCCTTGTACTGTTATGATCACTATCTTGTCTGTATTAACGTGTACGCTTGATTACATGATAGCCTACGCAAATCTCTCTAGATTAAATGTTGATAGCTTAAATATATCGCTAGATGAATCATTCTCTTTCCCATGTATATATACACTCCAGTTCAATTTTTAGCCTTTGGTTTGCCTTACTGTGCCCTTATGCGATTAAACTATAAATTTGCCACTGTATTCGCTAGCCTACATATTCGCCTCTGCTTCACATTCGCTCGATGTGCTTGTAGCTTTGTGATTCGTGCTATCCACAAATAAACTGTAGTCGCCGCTTCTTATTAACTTTTGATTTCAAACACTATTGGGATTTATATAATAACGGTTATCAAGGTAATTGATTAACGAAACTAAGCCATTACAAGCTTGAAATCCATAAGACACATGAATGTGTTTTTCATTATGACTTAGCTTATCGACTTTAATGTTAAAATTGCTAGTTACGACTACTACATTCGAAACCTTGATTTCCTGAAAGGGGTCATGAAATTTCGTGTTTAACTCATCTTCTACTCCATTCAAACTTCGGTAAGTAAAATCATAGTCATAAACGATGAAGACACAATAACTTCATACTGTGGTACTTGAATAAAGAACGTTACATATTTTGATAGATTTCTTTTAAATCAGTTGTTTTCATGATTATTACTTCATAATTGTTTAACCCTATTAGTATTTCCAATGTTTAAATGTATTCATAGTTCATTTAATTGAATATGAAATGATTCCATTTAATAAGTCAATATTTATTATAAAATAACATACATTGAATAGTTCTTTGAAAAACTAGAAACAATTCATCAGAAGTTATTTTTATTCAATAAAATCATCTTATATATATATATATATATATATATATATATATATATATATATATATATATATATATATATATATATATATCATTCAAGCATACATTAATTACACTAAGCTACAATGGTAGAATAAAAATTGGTATATTTCAATAATTAATTTAATAGTTTTGAAATAGTTAATAAAATATCTTGTACAATACAATACATTGTTGTATCCTGAATAGGCATATTAAAAAAATAAGGGATTCTATTTTATTTATTTCCATGACGTATAGCTTGTATATATTCTTCATATGTAATATTATTATCACAATTTAAATCGAGCTTTTCTATAAGTTTCTACAAAATAATTGGAAGAATTCAGTCAATTATATATATGTTTACATTTTGATAAAAGATTGAACTCATTCAACGTGTACGAGAGATATACTGACTGTGAATCAGTAAAGATAGTCTCTTTTCAAATCGAAACATTTTAACATGGATATACTTTTGTAAATATTTTGAATTATAATAATTGATCACAGAGTCATTTCAGTAGTTTTGATTCTACAGAAACGGATCTACTATTAAAATAAGTAAATGTGACAATGAGTGACATTCATTTCAGTTGCACGATAAGAATTAGACACTACCGTTGTTAACTCTCAGCTCGAAGTTATCAGTATTCAATGATAGTTTGAAAATAAAAGTGAGGCTTTCTTTCACGTTGAAGATAAGCAAATTTGTTTTATTGTGATGTGTATCTCAATGTCACAACGAATTATATTTCATGTTCAAACATCCGTTTCTTAAAGTAATATACTTTGTATTACCAAGTCAATCAAACCAAGATATCAAATGATGTTTATAAAGGGTTTGGATTCTTACTAAACAATAATTGTAAAAATATAAATGTTTGCTAAATAAGTCTAAATGGACTGAACTAAGGATTAAATATAGTATCTACACAATAGCTAAAATAAATCAACTATTGTCTGTTTGGTATCATTTGAAAAGTTTGATGAAGATATTCATACACATATATGATAACCATAAAAATAATAATAATTGCATAATTAAAACTGTTTACATTAAAAAAACTTACATTTACTGTGTTCTCTGTAACTCCCGATGATCGTAATCCTTGTTTTAATTCTTCTTTTGAGAGTATACCATCACCACTTTTATCCAGTCTAGAGAACAAATTCAATAACATTTCTTCAGACATTTCTTTTTTTGTTTTTGTTTGATCTAACGATAAATAAAGCAATTTAACAAATAAAAGGATGATTAGGATATTTGTATAAACTTATTGAAAATTAAACCTAAATGATTTGGCATATTTGAGTCGTGACCATCATTAGGTACTGAATATGTGGAGTTCAGCTTCTGGATACTAAAGTATTATTTATTTATCTAAAATTTTAGTACATTTTCGATTAATGTTAAACTAATACGTGAGCTCAACTTTACTAGGATTTTCAAGATTTAATCAAAGAATTATGAGAAATTACAAATAGTTTTTCTATCACTATTCTTAGAGTATGGCACCAACACATATAAGTATTACTGGTATGGGATATTATTATCACTGATTATTGAATAAGAAAAAGAGAATTCAGCAAAGAAGATTTTCTTTTCGACGAAATCATTTACTTAAGCTGTACATTCATATATATATATAGGTATATAGACATACATTTTCCATATAACTATATACGAATGCACAGCTTAAGTAAATGATTTCGTTGGAAGGAAAATTTCCTTAGCTGAATTCTCTTTTTCTTATTCAATGACACTGTGGGTTATTTTAATTACCACTGATTAGTTTAGAATGATCAAAATGTTAAAATCTTGGTCAATCATTCCATATTTAAGTAAAATAATTGTTAACCGAATTCTTATTATAATCTTATCATAAATAGATATGAAAATCAAACACTCATCATTTCAATGGTTGGAATTATGAGTCAATTGAAGCTAGACCACCATGGAAATCCTGGAAGCACTGGACGGCCGTTTCGTCCTAGTATGAAACTCCTCAGCAGTGCGCATCCGCGACCCCGCCGCCCGCGAGATTTGAATTGAGGACCTATCAGCAACGCACGCGAACGCTTAACCATTAGACCACTGAGCTGGCATCATTATTTGTCAAAATTTCGAAACGTACTACTCAAGACCATCTACACTGCACAAATTTCATCATTCAGTTTTCGTTTAAGTCAATCTTTTTTTAACTGAACATAAGAAACTTTAGATGAGTTAAATAATATCACATAAATAACATTCTATTAACATGATTATAACTGACGTTAAAATGAGTGTCCATACACTGTTAGTTAGATTGTATAAATGAAAAATAAGACTGTGTAAAGCTCAAATGTTATGTTTCTTTCCATTTTGTATTGAGTACAGTACGCTAAAGCATTAATTGACAGTTCATAATAACAGTACATAAAGTTGATGTATGATAATCCACAATTGGATGAATATTTGTCCTCAAATGCCCTAGTACGGCCGACAGTGAGGAAAGTCAACTCTCCCTCTCAAAATGCTCTCACATAGCCATGTGCAAACAAGCACTGCCAGCGAACTCCTACTCACTGTTCTCTCTAGGCGAGGGTGTTATTTACAAAATTGAGAGAACGAAAAGCGAATGTCCGACTCTTTAAATGCGTTGATGGATATGGAGGATCTACATAACGGGGTTGGAAAACACTGATTCCAAACCAATGGTGCACATGGGCTCCAGGATCTTAAGGAAACAAATGGTGTATGAACCAATCGTTGGTCACCGGCTACCACGTTACTGCATTTCCTGGCGTTGCTCTACTGCCTTGTGGATCAGACCTTTAGGTCGAAGGCTCCTGGTGTAGCCCCCTACGAACACCATTTGCTTCAGTTTGAGCACCCTGACAGTATCCTAGCTCTCACGCAAATCGAATAATTTATGTAGCGCATATCTGTTTGGTACTTTCTTGTACCTATCTTTATGTGTTTAAATAAAGAAAGAAAGGAAAGATATATATATATATATATATATATATATATATATATATATATATATATATATTATAAAGCTTAGATTAATTTCAGAGTACTCACTTAATGTTTCAAAACAATTTGAAAATCATATTTAACTCAGTATTTCGTATTAATTTATAGTATTTCAACTACAAGTCAACAATTTTCTGATGACCTGATAGTTTCTAACTGGTTTCTTATCACTTCTGTATTTTTTTCTCATAATAAATTAAAAATAGTAAATTCACTTTCAAAGTCTATAGATAAGAATGAATGATAATTAGCAGACTTATTTTATCCGGATGAACTGCCGCCTATCCTTAATTAATCAAGAAAATGTTTATCTATATTTTTTCTGATAAAAATCCATACATTTGAAAGTATATGAATACATATGAAATATTATTTTGAAAACTCCGCCTGTAGCTCTTATAGGGTTGCTGCCGGTCCCAAGCCCGGGTAAAGGAGGAGGGTTGGGCATGGGGTTAGCGTCCCCATCCCCTAGAAAACTAACTCGCTAAAAAAACGCTTACCAGAAAAAATAATCCAAACCATTTTAACTCTGCCCTGGGAGTTAGAAGGTCTTCATTTAGAAGAATTATCACGCTTCATGGTGAAAGCCGAGTTCCTTCGGAAGCCACGAGGCCGATGCCCCTTCTAACAACCAGAGCAAAAAATTTTTATAGGTACATGGAACGTTCGAACAATGTGAGAAACCGGGAAGACCAGTCAAATATCAATGGAAATGAGGAGATACAACTTAGCAGTACTGGGAATCAGCGAAACCCACTGGACCCAAGCTGGACAGAAAAGGCTAGCTACGGGAGAGATGCTGCTATACTCCGGTCACGAAGAGGACAATGCTCCACACACTCAGGGAGTCGCTCTTATGCTGTCCAAAGTAGCACGAAATGCACTTGTAGGATGGGAACCTCACGGATCCAGAATCATCAAAGCATCATTCAAAATAAAGAAGGAGGAGATCTTAATGAATATTATCCAATGTTATGCACCCACCAATGATAGCAACGACGACATTAAAGATCAATTCTACGAGCGGCTGCAGTCAGTGATAGAGAAATGCCCAAGAAAGGACCTCACCATTCTAATGGGAGATCTAAATGCCAAAGTCGGAATAGACAACACCGGATATGAAGATATCATGGGACGACATGGACTGGGACAGAGAAACGAAAATGGAGAAAGATTTGCAAATCTATGTGCATTCAACAAATTGGTCATAGGAGGAACAATATTTCCACACAAGCGTATACACAAGGCTACATGGATCTCACCGGACCACACCACAAAGAACCAGGTAGATCATATTTGCATCAATAAAAAGTTCCAAGGGACAATGGAAGATGTAAGAACCAAGAGAGGAGCTGATATAGCTTCAGATCACCACCTAGTTGTAGCCAATTTAAAACTGAAGCTATAGAAGAACTGAACAACTAGACAAACAACACTACAAAGGTTCAATACAGCCTTCCTTCGAGATACTGACAAACTCAATGAATTCAAGATAGCTCTCAACAACAGGTTCCAAGCCTTACGAGATCTACTGAAATAAGAAGAAACTACTATGGAGGACAACTGGAAAGACATCAAGGAGGCATTAACTTCAACGTGTCAAGAGGTTCTCGGTCTAAAGAAATACCATCATAAGGAATGGATCTCTACAGAAACAGTGGATAAGATCAAAGAAAGGAAGAACAAGAAGGCAGCAATAAACAACAGCCGAACACGAGCAGAGAAAGTCCAAGCACAAGCTGAATACATAGAAGCAAACAAGCAAGTGAAGAGGAGCATTAGAGCCGACAGGAAGAAATACGTAGAAGAATTAGCAACGACGGCAGAAAAAGCTGCTAGAGAAGGAAATATGAAACAGCTCTACGATACAACGAAGAAACTATCAGGGAAATACAGTAAACCAGAGAGGCCAGTCAAAGACAAAGAAGGCAAGCCAATCACCGAAATTCAACAACAGCGTAACAGATGGGTAGAATACTTCGAGGAACTCCTGAATAGGCCGGCTCCATTGAATCCACCGGACATCGAAGCAGCACACATAGATCTTCCTATAGATGTCAATCCACCAACTACGGAAGAAATTAGAATGGCCGTCAGACAAATCAAGAACGGGAAAGCAGCAGGACCCGACAACATACCAGCTGAAGCACTGAAATCAGACATCGAAACAACCACAAGCATGCTTTATCTTCTATTCAAAAAGCTTTGGGAGGAGGAACAAGTGCCGATGGACTGGAAAGAAGGACATCTCGTCAAGATTCCAAAGAAAGGAGATCTGAGTAAATGTGAAAACTACAGAGGCATAACACTACTGTCAATACCAGGGAAAGTCTTCAACAGATTGTTGCTGAACCGGATGAAGGAAGCAGTAGACGCCCAACTTCGAGATCAACAAGCTGGATTCCGTAAGGATCGGTCGTGCACAGACCAAATTGCAACACTACGGATCATCGTCGAACAATCAGTTGAGTGGAACTCATCCCTATACATCAACTTCATTGATTATGAAAAGGCATTTGACAGTGTAGATAGGAGGACGTTATGGAAACTTCTTCGACACTACGGAATTCCTGAGAAGATTGTCAATATAATCCGGAACTCATACGACGGACTACAGTGCAAAGTAGTGCATGGAGGACAGCTGACGGATGCATTCCAAGTAAGGACCGGAGTCAGACAAGGCTGTTTACTCTCTCCCTTCCTTTTTCTCCTGGTGGTCGACTGGATTATGAAGACCTCAACATCTGAAGGAAAACACGGAATACAATGGACAGATCATAATCAATTAGGCGATTTGGACTTCGCAGATGACCTAGCCCTCCTATCACGTACACACGAACAGATGCAGATGAAGACAGCCAGTGTAGCAGCAGTCTCTGCATCAGTAGGCCTCAGCATACACAAAGGGAAAACTAAGGTCCTCAAATTCAAGGCGGAGAACAGCAATCCAATCACTCTTGATGGCGAAACTCTGGAAGATGTAGAATCCTTCACATATCTGGGAAGCATCATCGATGAACAAGGAGGCTCAGATGCAGACGTAAAGGCGAGGATCGGCAAAGCAAGGGTCGCATTCCTACAATTGAAGAACATATGGAACTCAAAACAACTTTCAACCAATATCAAAGTGAGAATCTTCAATACGAATGTCAAGGCAGTTCTACTGTATGG